AAAAGGAGATTCTTCCCACAAGTAAATATACTCCAAAACATAATTACAAAATTTCAGAATTGAATTAAATAACATTTGAGCTTTCCTCATTTAATGTGTTCAATTCCTCCCTAGTTTTTGTAGGAATAAATTTCAAGGTCTTTGTTTACAAGGCTTGTTATAATAATTGCAATTTGCTAAAACTTTAAAAGCTGAAATTTGTTTTTTTCTTTAGTCATTCCATTCATTGATACTTTGAATAAAAGATTTTCCACTGATTTTGAACAAACTGCGATCAAAATTTAGAGGGCTCGGAAGGTGAAGCCATGCTTTCTGGACTGCAACATGGAGGCTACCGGTGGAACTAATGAGCCGGTTTCCGGGGAACTGGTGTCTGTGGCACGTGCTCTTTCTCTCCCAGGAGAGTCGTATGGCAACGATCCTGATATTGAGATGGCCTGGGCCATGAGAGCAATGCAGCATGCTGAAGTCTATTACAAGCTGATTTCATCAGTTGACCCACAGTTCCTGAAACTCACCAAAGTGGATGACCAAATCTACTCTGAGTTCCAAGAAAATTTTGAGAAACTCAGGATAGATATATTGGACCCAGAAGAACTCAAATCAGAATCAGCTAAAGAGAAGTGGAGGCCATTCTGCTTGAAGTTTGATGAGATTGTAGAAGACTTCAACTATGGTACTTTGCTGCGACTGGACTGTTCTCAGGGCTACACTGAGGAAAACACCATCTTTGCCCCCAGGGTACAATTTTTTGCCATTGAAATTGCTCAGAACCGGGAAGGCTATAACAAAGCAGTTTACATCAGTGTTCAGGACAAGGAAGGAGAAAGGAGCCAACAATGGAGGAGAGAAAGGAGCTGACAGTGGAGGAGAAGAAGAGAAAGGAGGCAACAGAGAAGGAGAAAAAGAGAAAACTGACAAAGGAGGAGAAAAAGAGAAAGAAGCTGACACAGAAATCAACAAAAGTGGTGAAACAGCTATGTAAGGTAGACAGGAAACAGCGCTGTAGAAGCTGTGGCTCCGCTGAGCCTGCAAGTACCATGGTGCTACTTGCACAGACCCCTTTGGTTAAATATATGTTCTTGTGCAGTTGAAGGACACTCAGAAGTACATCTTTCTAGTCTGATAACCAGGAGTTGCTCTGGTCATTTCCTTAGTGGCTTACAGAGTATTCGTGGGTCTTAGTTGATTGTTTCTTGGTGTATTGTTTCTTGGCTCTCACCACTGGTCAAGTAAGAAATTTTGTAAATAAATTTCTTTTGGTTCTTATCTATATCTGTGACTGACTTTAAAAAGGTATTA